CGGGAGCCAGTGGCAAGGAAATCGCCGACAGGAAACGAAGGGCGCGAAAGGAGGGAAACGGAAGTAAATCATGCAACCCCCGTGACGACGTCGCGCGATGACAAACGAGCGAGTCGACGTCATCGCGCAAGAAACGTCGGCGACATCTGATAACGACCTTAATCGCATTAAGGCCCAACCCCCCGAGCACCCCGGCCAACGATCCTTCTTCAACCGGTGCGGTGATCGTGTCCCTAATGTCCCGAGAAAAGCAACGCTGCGATTGCGGATAAATCGCCCCCGACAAACTCGCCTAATATATTTCTTTGCCTTCCATTTCGCTCGTTGTCTCGCTAATACAAACGAATACACAAACGCGCGGTCCATTAGGAGACTTTCACGAGTTTCTTCTCTCGTACAAATGCTTTCCATGCTAACCCTCTGAAAGATTAGTTCGTAGTACGGGAAACGTGTTAGTAATATGGGAAAAGAAACGCATACTTGGTCAGTTGAGTAGAATTTTAATTAATGTCAACAATAAACTAGACAAGAAGAGATACGTAAGCACAATGATTCGTTTGTGAAGTGCATACGTAAATTATCGGTTACGAGTATGTAGATAGTAAGATAGCGTTGGAAAGTTGGATAGTTGGAAAGCGAAAGAAACGAGATATTCAGACTGTGCCGTAGGCACACGTAGTTTTTCTTTGAAGCATCGATCAATAGCGAAAAAGGATTTGTAACAGAGAGAAAAGTGAAAATCTTCTTCGATCGTATTTGATCGTTTTAGTCAAGCGATAATCTCCAAATTTCATCTGTACACGCGCGAGCAAGGATAGCTGCACCTGCAAAAAGAGAAAAAGAAAAAAGGAACGATAGAAAAACAGATGAAAATAAATGAAACTTCCACCGATATATCGATACGTTACGATTATGTTAGCGAAACAACTCTTGAAATGTAAAAGATGTGATGCGAATACAAGTTGGAAAAATCGTAGCGGGGGGTTTGTTCTATAACTCGATCGCGCAACAATGCGACATTTCATTATTAAGCCAGGTAACATGGTGGCTTGGAGGCGAGCATGATTCAAATTAAACCGGCAAATATTTGGGTATTTTATTTTCGAATGGAGGGGGCTTGCTGGCCGGCGGGAACGTTTTGTTACCTATTCGCTGGCCGGCGAGTTTAATTCGTTTCGTTATAAATACATCAGCAGCGGTCGAGCCTGGGAAATTACCTTTGCCGGCATAATGGCAAAAACACGAAAACCAGTACGGAAATAACGGGCAACGAGGGTAGGGCAGGGGGTTTGGTGGGCTGGCTGCGGGGACCGATTGAATTTTGCGCCTGGCCACGGTTTGAATTATGAAAAATCGGTTCGATATTTCGAGCCAGCCGTACAAAATCGGCCGACCACCGTTCGTTAAAATTCATGCGCGCAATTTGGACTGAATCGCGGCCCTGTTTGTTTCCTTGCCAGCATATTTACGGCTGATCCGCGGCCGGTTCGTGCTCGCTACGCGAAAACTGCGCCTCTCGCCTTCTCTTTCGGGACGCGCCGTTCCGCGAATTATCGTTCAATTAAGCCGAAACCAGCGCCGATCGAACGCGATTACAGATTCTCGCTAATGATTCAATTTAAATAACGAATTTTTCAACTCCTTCCTCTACCTTCTTAATCGCTGGCAGGGCAGACTTTCGTGTTCTCTTTTCTCACTTTTCTTTTTCTTTCTCTCTTTGGAAATCTTCGATAAAAAAGAATTCTGGCCTCTTAAACGTTTAATAGCAGCATGAAAGACTGGCTACGGATCATCGTCGCATTATCAACGAAGATACCGTATCGACAACAAGGATGAAGACGAGATGCAAAGGAGGGAATAACGCGATAAAAAAAGAACGTTTCGAGTTAAATTGATACTCACGCGACGTGTGTTTCTACCTTCGTAACGTGTGTTCACGCTAGACCTTGTTTGAGATTACGCACGAGTTTCTCGTTCCTGTTCGCCGCTATCAATCATTTAACACTCTCCGACGTTATTCGCAAAAAGCTCGCGTTCCTAATGAATGGTGTAGCGGAGGTATTAAAGTAAGCATAGTTTCAATTACGCTGTCACCGATGACGCGTGTATTCTACTCGTCGCCGTTGAACTCGAAGCTAAGCCGCACGCAATCGCGATGCGACCAACCTGCAGACAGCAACGTGTGTTCTCGTGTCGCGTGTCACGATTTTCTTAATCTCGAATCGACGTCAAATCGATAGAATACTTTGTGCTCTTTACTCACGACCATATTTAAATGTTTGATCGTTTCGAAGGTGGTTCGTGAATCGAAAGGAGAACGGGTAACTAAAGTGGACGAAAGTTAGGTTGGCTTTCGATGAATCGATTCGCGTCCAGTTAGCACCAAGTTCGACTGACCCGGCTCGACCTGGCACACAAAAAGTTCCTTTACTCTTGCAGGAATTACATACAGCGGTCCTTTCACTCTAGCATTTAAAATAGAAGCAACGTACGAACGCCGGTCAATTACGGAGAACGCCCGTGTCATTTATAAATCAGAAGAAATTGCAGTATCGGTGACGTCGAATTGACTGTGAAGTCCGACTCGTAATAATCACAGTGTCACCTGCGCTACACCGGTGTTGGCAACATCGTAACGATAATGTCGCAATAATATCAGGATAACGGGAAGATTATTTGACTAGAACGTCGTAAACGAGAAAGCACGAGAAGGAAAGCAAGTTAAACGGTCGATTATCTAAAGGTATAGCCGTAGCTGGACGCGTAGCGCGTCGTCGTACACGAAACGATTTGTACTTAATTAAGATTACGCGTTGATGAGAACACGCGCGGCACGCGAGCCAAGATATTCGAGGGAGATTAGAGGCAAGCTATGGCCGGCTCGAACGTAGACACATTCTTGCGACGAGGCTTGGCTGCGCTTATGCGTCCCGTAAATTAACCCCTAATGCCGATTTCTTTTTTATCTGATTGCGTTACTCACCATGCCCGAACGGACTCCGAGTAACAGCCGGTGTCTGGATTCAACATTTTGCGGTCACTCTCTGCCCTGCAAAAGAAAAGCAAAAGTGCTATTTACATAAAGAAATTTTCAATCGAAGATCGCAAGGTTCGTTTTCTTTATATCGTTCGATGCCTAAAACGAAATATTTTAACATAGAGGGATCCAAGATGAAAATTGTCTGGTTGATTCGGAGATACAGGCATTTCGAAAGTAGATCGTAAATACGCAACTTTTTGAGTGACTGTCGAGAGCAAGGAATCAACGATGGTATCGGACGTTTTAGTAAAATGTATCGCCAGTGTATATTACGAACGTAAAAATAACGTGAAATTAATGAAACGTTTAATTTGATATAAATATATGTATGTCTTAGTGCAGCTGGCGCATCGCGAATGAACTCGTTTAATTTTATACTCGATATAAAAAAACGTAAGTAACGATGATATCACTTTGTACATAATTTCGAGCGAAATGGCTATTCGAATTCCGTTTGTATCAAGAAAACCACGCCCCGATGTTATATATTCACGTCAACTTGCAAACTTTTAATCGAGTATCCAGTAGGCGCCTCTTCGTTATTAATTTTTAATGTGAAACGCAATTGTTGGCTATCAGTCGTTCGTTTCTGCGGTATCGGTTTCGCAGGAAGTCGCGTAAAAAATGTACACTCGTTTACAAAAGTAACTAATACAACAACTGGTCATTATCAGGCCGACAAAGTCGAGAGTGAACATGGAATAGTGGACAAAGACGATGACAAGGTGCGACACGGACGCTCGTCGCCGAGCGGGACGTGTGTCGATAAATTTATTTGCATCGCCGTGGTTTTATAATAAAACGAGCCACCGCTTTCGTCGGTTATTCACGCTGGACGATACATTATCCACAGGACGCGAGAAATTTATTCGATACACCCTCCTCCCTCTTCGATTCTTTCCTTCGTCTTCTTTTTATCCCTTATCCGCTCTGTCGCGCGCTCTTTTTCTTCTCTCTTTCTCTTGCCATTTTTTCCTGTTTTATTTAGCGAATGCGGAACACACCGAGTTTCACCGTTATTGTCATCTGTGTATCGTCGATTAAACCGCGTGTCAGCCGACACTCCCTTTCACCATGGGGCAGAACGTTTCCGTGTTACACTGCGCGGGGATAGATAAAAATGTGACGGCTGTCCTTGCCGCGAGAACCGGGAGACGACGCGTCGCGAAATTCCAGGGGCAATTTTTCCACGTTCAACGCGACCAACGTTCACGTCTCTTCCCGTGTCAACTTGCGTCGTTGCTCTTTGATAAAATCACACGCGAAATTTTACCAACTGCTTATGACGTTTCACTTGTTGCTACGTTAACTCGATTAATTCGTTGACGCTTTAATTGCCAGAAAAGTTTCAGTTTCTCTTCTTGCAAACGATATATAATTTTCCATTTAATTTCGTTATGAAGCCGTACTTGAACAAATTGTAACTTGTCAAAATACAAGCGAGTCATACGAGAAATTTAAATGCACAAAAGTATAAAGTGCAGTGTACATGATACAGTGTATAAAATTTTATACAACAATGTACATAATATTAACATGGTAACGTAATATTCTCCATTTAAAAGAAACATGAATTTTTATGAATCTTTATCGTAATAAAAACAACAATGCAATTGCATACTGGTTATAATTAATTTGCAGATCAATAGCGATAAAAGTGTTAATTTCCATCGAATCAAATTATACACAATCTATCCCTTCTTATTTTCCTTTAGAATAGACACAAATTTGCTGTAATAGCGACACCAGTTGTTGTCATGCGCGAATCATTGTTACGTCTTGCGCCATAACAGTTGGAGGTCGTCGTTACGATTCTCTTATTGATGTTTCGACCGCCGAACGTTTGAGACGCGTACGACTGAAGAGTACAACGAATAACCTCGCCACGATTATACAATTTCTACGCTTATTTCGATTCTCATTTTGGCAAACAGAAAGAACATTTGTTAATATTTTAACAAGATATACGATTGAAACGAGAAATCGTGAATATCAACAAGTCTTTGTACATTCTGTTCAAAGGGATATTTTTCAACGTTAGAAGAGTAGAATTTCGCCGAAGATGGTCGAAAGAACGCAGCGTTTATCGTTTGCCTGGTAAATCACAATCTTTCCAACCAATTAGGTCGTTGAATGCACATAAATATTTTATTGAATCAAATTGGATCGCAGGGGAATTCCTGTTTGCTCGTTACAACCCTCCGACCGTCTTCTCGCTTTTTTTATCAAAAGCGAGACCACCTCTACGATTTCCAAGTACAAGATCACGAGTAATCCTTTGATTTTTCAATCAGCTGCGGGCTATTGTTTGCGTGTTGTGACAGCAAGTATTATCGGGTTCGATTATGAGCGGTATTAAGGGTGACTCGTGAGAACCCCATCTGGTTGTGGAAAGGGGGCGGCGAGGACCGCGGTCATCGAGGGTGGAAATCACTGTTCGCTAGCATTACGCATTCATGCACGTCGCTTGCGTGACTATTCGTGTGCTTTGCGTAACTCGTGTCTTCACGTACAGTCCTCTCCAGTAATAGTTTACCCCACGTACTGCGACACGATAATTTACCAACTAACAATATCAGTCAGTTGACAAGGTACGAGCTGCGAATTATAACATGATTCTCTGTTGCGATTTTAATATTTTTCATTTAATGCGATGAACAGATAATTTATAATTCATAAAATTTACTTTATTTAATTTCACTTCTTTCATTTCACAAATTCGTTACCGCTTTGTAAAGTATTTATTAATTATAATAACGCATTCTAATAATTAGAATCGAAAGGCACATGGTTGGGATTGCTCTTATAAAAAGAAGTCTATGTCCAGATTTATCGTCGAATGGAAATTATGCTTTTAAATATAAAATTAATCTTCATCGTGGTTACACATTTTCGTCATTTAATTAGATACAATTGTGCAACCGTATAACAATACGAACATTTCGTTAAAGGCATTGAAATGTGTTAAACCAAAATTATGTTACATTATTCTTTCTCTCTTCCTGAAAAAAAAGAAAAAAATGTAAACGCGGACAAGGATCATTTTCGTTTTGAGAACTTCGATTTGTTTTTTAACTATTAGATCCTTATAAATCATCATGAAATTCCACTTTGCTTTCTTCTTTTCAATTTCTGCAAAATCGTTAAGTGAAGATGTCGTTGATCGTTTAAAAGTTGAAAATGAATATGAATATAGAAGGAAGTTTCTCTGTTTTCTTTTTGACGCAAGTTTGTCCCCTTGGTAGAATGATATGCAATTATTGCGGAGGACTGTACGTGGGTTGACGCTCGTATGGGAATGCGAATTCGATGCGGTACCACGCAGTAATTCGAGGGGTCGGTCGGTAGGAATGTGATTTTTGGCTACGAGGGGTGAAACGCCCCCTTCAACCGTGCGGTTTGCGCGTGACGTTTGAACCCGCCGATTCCTTGCGGTTTTTTTTTTCTTTTTTACTTCCACTCATCGTAATACTTGCTCCCCACGAAATTATTCACTGTGAAAAATCGTGAATCGCAATAACGATACAGTCAAAAAAAGGTATTATCGCACCATCATCCTTTACAGGATCGTGACAAATCAAAATACCAGGCGTTCCGGAAGAAAAGATGTGTGTTTTTCGTGTTTGAAACGAAATTCGGGGAATTATAGCCTCTTTCTTTGATTGATCAACTGTGGAAGAAGCGTCTGTTCATTCGTAATAAATTCATATACTTTTCTACGACCACAGCCACCGACGCTTTATACTTTAAACGATAATATTCTGCGATACAATTGCTGGCTTCTTTTCAAGTCTATAATTATTCAAAACTACAAGAAACCTCATTTTACGTTTCTTTGTGGTTACTGCCTTCCTCCATAGTTGGATAGTTTTAATTTCTATTATAACTTCTCAGTCATTAATTCTAACTAAAATAAAATTTAATTTTCAGATTATCGCTAAGTACAACGATGAAGATGGGGCGTGAAATACCTCTCTCTTACTCAGGAGAATTATTGGAGCAAACGTGTCTCAAAGGAAAATCAGCGCTAGAACGTGTCGTTTAAACAATTTGTACGTATTTCTGTTTTTACCATTACCATCTTCCTCCGTAATTGGCTAGTGCATATATAATCTCCAATACTTATTATTAAATTCCACCGAAAGTTTCTTCGAAATTCATTAGTATTTCTTAAAATACTTACTAAACGAAACATTCCTGACACGATCGAATTCCTTTCTCGTGTTAAAAACACAGGTATCGCCGCATGTCGCATGTTGCATATTTTCGCGTGCACGGGATTGTCGAATTTCATCTAAGTCTCGAGAAACCGGAACGAAAAGGAATCGCTGATCCGATGTGTCGGCGAACGATGTTCGCGGAATACCGTGGAACGTGACGAGTAGTAGCTCTTAATTCACGTAACCGGAGAACGATCGTTGCACTCCGATAGGAACATCGAGTTTACACGGCTGAACCGGATCGCGTTTCAATTCGTCGACAGGTTGCGAATAATGCTGTTGGCCGAATCGCACGCGAAACGTTTCGCGAGCGGTGAGCTTTCAATTATGCAAACATGCCAGCCAGTAGCCAGACGCGAATAAAATTTCACGTACCGCCGATATTCAGCCGATTGTACGCCCTGCTGCCGGATGAAAAACCACACTCGGTTTAATAAAAAATCGATCGTGCCGCTTTTATCCGCGGAAAAGTAATTAGACAATGCATGATTAAAAAGACCGATTCTCGCCGAGTAAAAAATAAAACGATACGTTTCATCGTACGATAGACATTGCGTGGCTAAAATCGAACACCGCCGGAGAAGATCGTGACAAGTTGCCATCTTTGGCAGGTTTCGTTAATATTCAATTGAATTTTTATTTGATTCTACGGCTAAACCTGTACCTTGCGCATTCTTCTCGTGATTTTGAAGATGCTACGTGTCGCAAGATTAAAATATTGTTTGCCTCGAACGATATTCTTTGCGTTTTCTAAAATGTTTTGTCAACTATTTACATTTGCTTGTTTTT